CCTGGGTATACCGTATAGTAAGCTACGAAGGTCCCCTGGGTATACCGTATAGTAAGCTACGAAGGTCCCCTGGGTATACTGTATAGTAAGCCTGGGTATACTGTATAGTAAGCTACGAAGGTCCCCTGGGTATACCGTATAGTAAGCTACGAAGGTCCCCTGGGTATACCGTATAGTAAGCTACGAAGGTACCCTGGGTATACCGTATAGTAAGCTACGAAGGTCCTCTGGGTATACCGTATAGTAAGCTATGAAGGTCCCCTGGGTATACCGTATAGTAAGCTATGAAGGTCCCCTGGGTATACCGTATAGTAAGCTATGAAGGTCCCCTGGGTATACCGTATAGTAAGCTATGAAGGTCCCCTGGGTATACCGTATAGTAAGCTATGAAGGTCCCCTGGGTATACCGTATAGTAAGCTACGAAGGTCCCCTAGGTATACCGTATAGTAAGCTACGAAGGTCCCCTAGGTATACCGTATAGTAAGCTACGAAGGTCCCCTGGGTATACCGTATAGTAAGCTACGAAGGTCCCCTGGGTATACCGTATAGTAAGCTATGAAGGTCCCCTGGTTATATCGTATAGTAAGCTATGAAGGTCCCCTGGGTATACCGTATAGTAAGCTATGAAGGTCCCCTGGGTATACCGTATAGTAAGCTACGAAGGTCCCCTGGGTATACCGAATAGTAAGCTACGAAGGTCCCCTGGGTATACTGTATAGTAAGCCTGGGTATACTGTATAGTAAGCTACGAAGGTCCCCTGGGTATACTGTATAGTAAGCTATGAAGGTCCCCTGGTTATATCGTATAGTAAGCTATGAAGGTCCCCTGGGTATACCGTATAGTAAGCTATGAAGGTCCCCTGGGTATACCGTATAGTAAGCTACGAAGGTCCCCTGGGTATACCGAATAGTAAGCTACGAAGGTCCCCTGGGTATACTGTATAGTAAGCCTGGGTATACTGTATAGTAAGCTAGGAAGGTCCCCTGTGTATACTGTATAGTAAGCTACGGAGGTCCCCTGGGTATACTGTATAGTAAGCTACGAAGGTCCCCTGGGTATACTGTATAGTAAGCTACGAAGGTCCCCTGGGTATACCGTATAGTAAGCTAGGAAGGTCCCCTGGGTATACCGTATAGTAAGCTATGAAGGTCCCCTGGGTATACCGTATAGTAAGCTATGAAGGTCCCCTGGGTATACCGTATAGTAAGCTACGAAAGTCCCCTGGGTATACCGTATAGTAAGCTATGAAGGTCCCCTGGGTATACCGTAAAGTAAGCTATGAAGGTCCCCTGGGTATACCGTATAGTAAGCTATGAAGGTCCCCTGGGTATACCGTATAGTAAGCTACGAAGGTCCCCTGGGTATACCGTATAGTAAGCTACGAAGGTCCCCTGGGTATACTGTATAGTAAGCCTGGGTATACTGTATAGTAAGCTACGAAGGTCCCCTGGGTATACCGTATAGTAAGCTACGAAGGTCCCCTGGGTATACCGTATAGTAAGCTACGAAGGTACCCTGGGTATACCGTATAGTAAGCTACGAAGGTCCTCTGGGTATACCGTATAGTAAGCTATGAAGGTCCCCTGGGTATACCGTATAGTAAGCTATGAAGGTCCCCTGGGTATACCGTATAGTAAGCTATGAAGGTCCCCTGGGTATACCGTATAGTAAGCTATGAAGGTCCCCTGGGTATACCGTATAGTAAGCTACGAAGGTCCCCTAGGTATACCGTATAGTAAGCTACGAAGGTCCCCTAGGTATACCGTATAGTAAGCTACGAAGGTCCCCTGGGTATACCGTATAGTAAGCTACGAAGGTCCCCTGGGTATACCGTATAGTAAGCTATGAAGGTCCCCTGGTTATATCGTATAGTAAGCTATGAAGGTCCCCTGGGTATACCGTATAGTAAGCTATGAAGGTCCCCTGGGTATACCGTATAGTAAGCTACGAAGGTCCCCTGGGTATACCGAATAGTAAGCTACGAAGGTCCCCTGGGTATACTGTATAGTAAGCCTGGGTATACTGTATAGTAAGCTACGAAGGTCCCCTTGGTATACTGTATAGTAAGCTACGGAGGTCCCCTGGGTATACTGTATAGTAAGCTACGAAGGTCCCCTGGGTATACTGTATAGTAAGCTACGAAGGTCCCCTGGGTATACCGTATAGTAAGCTAGGAAGGTCCCCTGGGTATACCGTATAGTAAGCTATGAAGGTCCCCTGGGTATTTCTGTGGTAGATATTACACATTCCGTATAGTAAGCTATGAAGGTCCCCTGGGTATACCGTATAGTAAGCTATGAAGTTCCCCTGGGTATACCGTATAGTAAGCTACGAAGGTCCCCTGGGTATACTGTATAGTAAGCTACGAAGGTCCCCTGGGTATACCGTATAGTAAGCTACGAAGGTCCCCTGGGTATACTGTATAGTAAGCTACGAAGGTCCCCTGGGTATACTGTATAGTAAGCTACGAAGGTCCCCTGGGTATACCGTATAGTAAGCTACGAAGGTCCCCTGGGTATACCGTATAGTAAGCTACGAAGGTCCCCTGGGTATACCGTATAGTAAGCTACGAAGGTCCCCTGGGTATACTGTATAGTAAGCTACGAAGGTCCCCTGGGTATACCGTATAGTAAGCTACGAAGGTCCCCTGGGTATACCGTATAGTAAGCTACGAAGGTCCCCTGGGTATACCGTATAGTAAGCTACGAAGGTCCCCTGGGTATACCGTATAATAAACTTCGAAGGTCCCCTGGTTATACTGTATAGTAAGCTACGAAGGTCCCCTGGGTATACCGTTAAGTAAGCTATGAAGGTCCCCTGGGTATACCGTTTAGTAAGCTATGAAGGTCCCCTGGGTATACTGTATAGTAAGCTATGAAGGTACCCTGGGTATACCGTATAGTAAGCTACGAAGGTCCCCTGGGTATACCGTATAGTAAGCTACGAAGGTCCCCTGGGTATACCGTATAATAAACTTCGAAGGTCCCCTGGTTATACTGTATAGTAAGCTACAAAGGTCCCCTGGGTATACCGTTAAGTAAGCTATGAAGGTCCCCTGGGTATACCGTTTAGTAAGCTATGAAGGTCCCCTGGGTATACCGTATAGTAAGCTACGAAGGTCCCCTGGGTATACCGTATAGTAAGCTATGAAGGTCCCCTGGGTATACCGTATAGTAAGCTATGAAGGTCCCCTGGGTATACCGTATAGTAAGCTACGAAGGTCCCCTGGGTATACCGTATAGTAAGCTACGAAGGTCCCCTGGGTATACTGTATAGTAAGCCTGGGTATACTGTATAGTAAGCTACGAAGGTCCCCTGGGTATACCGTATAGTAAGCTACGAAGGTCCCCTGGGTATACCGTATAGTAAGCTACGAAGGTACCCTGGGTATACCGTATAGTAAGCTACGAAGGTCCTCTGGGTATACCGTATAGTAAGCTACGAAGGTCCCCTGGGTATACCGTATAGTAAGCTATGAAGGTCCCCTGGGTATACCGTATAGTAAGCTATGAAGGTCCCCTGGGTATACCGTATAGTAAGCTATGAAGGTCCCCTGGGTATACCGTATAGTAAGCTATGAAGGTCCCCTGGGTATACCGTATAGTAAGCTATGAAGGTCCCCTGGGTATACCGTATAGTAAGCTACGAAGGTCCCCTAGGTATACCGTATAGTAAGCTACGAAGGTCCCCTAGGTATACCGTATAGTAAGCTACGAAGGTCCCCTGGGTATACCGTGTAGTAAGCTACGAAGGTCCCCTGGGTATACCGTATAGTAAGCTATGAAGGTCCCCTGGTTATATCGTATAGTAAGCTATGAAGGTCCCCTGGGTATACCGTATAGTAAGCTATGAAGGTCCCCTGGGTATACCGTATAGTAAGCTACGAAGGTCCCCTGGGTATACCGAATAGTAAGCTACGAAGGTCCCCTGGGTATACTGTATAGTAAGCCTGGGTATACTGTATAGTAAGCTACGAAGGTCCCCTGGGTATACTGTATAGTAAGCTACGGAGGTCCCCTGGGTATACTGTATAGTAAGCTACGAAGGTCCCCTGGGTATACTGTATAGTAAGCTACGAAGGTCCCCTGGGTATACCGTATAGTAAGCTAGGAAGGTCCCCTGGGTATACCGTATAGTAAGCTATGAAGGTCCCCTGGGTATACCGTATAGTAAGCTATGAAGGTCCCCTGGGTATACCGTATAGTAAGCTACGAAAGTCCCCTGGGTATACCGTATAGTAAGCTATGAAGGTCCCCTGGGTATACCGTAAAGTAAGCTATGAAGGTCCCCTGGGTATACCGTATAGTAAGCTATGAAGGTCCCCTGGGTATACCGTATAGTAAGCTACGAAGGTCCCCTGGGTATACCGTATAGTAAGCTACGAAGGTCCCCTGGGTATACCGTATAGTAAGCTACGAAGGTCCCCTGGGTATACCGTATAGTAAGCTACGAAGGTCCCCTGGGTATACCGTATAGTAAGCTACGAAGGTCCCCTGGGTATACCGTATAGAAAGCTACGAAGGTCCCCTGGGTATACCGTATAGTAAGCTACGAAGGTCCCCTGGGTATACCGTATAGAAAGCTATTAATGTCCCCTGGGTATACCGTATAGTAAGCTACGAAGGTCCCCTGGGTATACCGTATAGTAAGCTATGAAGGTCCCCTGGGTATACCGTATAGTAAGCTACGAAGGTCCCCTGGGTATACCGTATAGTAAGCTATGAAGGTCCCCTGGGTATACCTATACCGTATAGTAAGCTACGAAGGTCCCCTGGGTATACCGTATAGTTCCCCTGGGTATACTGTATAGTAAGCTATGAAGGTCCCCTGGGTATACTGTATAGTAAGCTATGAAGGTCCCCTGGTATTTCTTCTGTGGTAGCATCATTATACATTTCTCTCAGTCCATAATTATTTGTTTGTATAGATATTAGGAATTGTAATTAGTCACGTTGCTATATTTGAATGAATATATGAATTGTTTTTTTAAACATTTAGATAGATCTTCCGAGAACGTGTAGCAACTTAAACAGAATACCAAAGATGACCCGATATGTCCAGCTATAAAGATCTGAAGCCTTCACAAGTTAAAGACATCCCTTTTGTTAATATAGGTATATGAATTCATCGACTCGTAAATAAAGCGCAAGATAGATTTGATTTTAACAGAATCTATATTAGAAAATCAGACATTTAGACATCAGTAACATGTACTTTGAATCAAAAAGAACACATTTATTGACTTGAATTATAATTTTACACTCTATATTTCGTGTGTTTCGTACGAAATGTATAGAATTATGTGATTATAGATTTAGGAAGATGTGGTATAAGTGCTAATGAGACAACTCTCCATCCAAGTTACAATTTATAAAATTAAACCATTATATTAGGCTAGATGAAAATATCATCCCGCGTAATGCATGCTACTTCTTGATCTAGCACGTTGGTAACATCGATTGATCAAAGCAGCAGGGTTTATGTCAAATCAACATGCTTTCCATTAACACAAATGGGAGAAAATAACAAAAATAGCATAAGACGTATGTGTACACGATTTTCTGTTCATTGATTTTATATTGCAAATATACACATGCAGATACTCAACTATATTAAGTTATTGCACATTTCAAGGACCACCATTATTTTTGTCATATCCCACATAGACCTCTTGATTTATATTTTAGTGTGTGATGATAAAGGAAGAACATTATTATAAATTGTTCAATACAATTATATAATTATATGATGGGCAAGTCTGTATTCGTCACTCGATGTCTATTTTTTCTATGAAAAACTTCCTTGTCTTTTCAAGTATGCAAAATATTATTGAATTATATTTACATGTCACAAAAACATGATTTAAATACTAACAATTTTATCTGATCCGTACACAGGTGCCCAAGATCTTATTACGATAGAAGCTAACTGGAAAGGTTTAGTGAGAAAAGAAGGACAACTGGAACGTGGATTAAAGAAACTTGGACCCCTCTCTAAAGTTACAAGTATTCAGTGTAAGTGGCGATCTATTGTTCGCTCTCTAAAGTTACAAGTATTCAGTGTAAGGATAATTATCAACTTATATTACATGACTGGCGATCTATTGTCCCCTCTCTAAAGACTGGTGATCTATTGTCCTCTCTAAAGACTGGTGATATATTGTATCCTCTCTAAAGTTACAAGTATTCAGTGTAAGGATAATTATCAACTTATATTACATGACTTGCGATCTATTGTTCTCTCTCTAAAGACTGGCGATCTATTATCCTCTCTCTAAAGACTGGTGATCTATTGTCCTCTCTCTAAAGACTGGCGATCTATTGTCCCCTATCTAAAGACTGGCGATCTATTGTCCTCTCTCTAAAGACTGGTGATAAAGTGTCCCCTCTCTAAAGACTGGTGATCTATTGTCCCCTCTCTAAAGACTGGTGATCTATTGTTTTCTCTCTAAAGACTGGTGATCTATTGTCCCCTTTCTAAAGACTGGCGATCTATTGTCCCCTTTCTAAAGACTGGCGATCTATTGTCCTCTCTCTAAAGACTGGCGATCTATTGTCCTCTCTCTAAGGACTGGTGATCTATTATCCCCTCTCTAAAGACTGGTGATTTATTGTCCCCCCCCTAAAGACTGGTGATCTATTGTCCCCTCTCTAAAGACTGGTGATCTATTGTCCCCTTTCTGAAGACTGGTGATCTATTGTCCCCTCTCTAAAGATTGGTGATCTATGGTCCCCTCTCTAAATACTGGTGATCTATTGTCCCCTCTCTAAAGACTGGTGATCTATTGTCCCCTCTCTAAAGACTGGCGATCTATTGTCCCCTCTCTAAAGACTGGTGATCTATTGTCCCCTCTCTAAAGAACTGGTGATCTATTGTCCTCTCTCTAAAGACTGGCGATCTATTGTCCCCTTTCTAAAGACTGGCGATCTATTGTCCTCTCTCTAAAGACTGGCGATCTATTGTCCTCTCTCTAAAGACGTGCGATCTATTGTCCCCTCTCTGAAGTTACAAGTATTCAGTGTATGGATAATTATCAACCTATATAACACTACTGGTGATCTATAGTCCTTTCTCTAAAGACACACGACTCCGTTGCAAGAATTGCAAGTCATGTGATATCTCGACTTAATAATGGATTGGCCTCACTATTGTGATGCTTTCATTTGATTTGGTAGACTTGGTAGATTGTATGGTATCAATAAAAGGAAATGTTGGTATACGTCATAGCAACAACAACCTAACGACACAAAATACCAAAAGACATATTTACTCTTAAACTACAGGTGTCTAATGGAAAAAATGTTACAACCTTTAAATAACCATACAGGTTGATGATTGAACCCCTATCTAGTGCAGAGATTTTTATATACCCTATTTATAACCCTGCTGTATGGCCTATAAAAGTAATTGTGTAAACATTTCCGTTAGATTGTTCACTTATTGAAACAGTTTTATATTCAACTTGTTGCTATTACTGCAGTTAAAACTGTTCAGTGGAAGCCTTCTTAATGTTAAATTTATCTGAATAAAAGAAAACATTGGGTTCATGTCGATGACACAGCAACCCAACAACAATAAAACTAAAGAACAACAAAGAATCAATCGGGGACAATACCCGAAAGATATATACCAACAACACCAAATTTTCAGAAGGACAAAAAGATTCAAATAATTTAAAGACAATCACTCATGACTATATTGACTAGATTCAGGCACATGAAGACGATATATGATTTTGTCTTTTTGTATTACGTATATAGTATTTTGAGTTACTTCAGCATTGTTCAGCCATGTTATACTGTGAAAAAATACAGTCGATGTATATATATATATTTCGGTTTTAATTGTATAAATTTAAAGATTGTTATATTTAAATCAGAATAGATTGATATGATTCATTTTACATCATATTCATACTGATGAAGGATATCTATTATCCGAAATATTTATAGATACTTCCTTTTTTTTTAATATTGGTGTTGTTTTTGTACACTTTTTAGGCGTTTATATATATAAATATATATAGACTTCTATAAACAAGTCTAAATTGAAAACAACGTTCTAACCTATGATTGCGTTGGATAAAAACCGCAATTTTTATACATGTGCATGCAAAACAAATTTCTTGGTAGAGGGGTCTAAATTCAGCACAAACAACATTTTCCAAAAGACCAAAAAAGTGAAAAAGTATATTTTAACAAAACGCATTTGACTATCAGGTCGAACAACGGATGTTCTTAAACCCTGCTGACTGCCATTGGCGATTGCCAAATAAACAGATCACCAGATGTAACAAAATTGATCTTAACTATTAATTTAATACCAAACAGAAAACAATAAACTTGCGGAAAAGATGGTATACCGCAAACAAAAGGTGCAAAAATTAGTACACCATGTCCGGATTTCGACAATTAATGTCTCTTCAGTGATGTTAGGAATCGAAACGGTATTTGGAAGGCCATATAATTTACCTCAATTTAGGATAGACTCTTGAATTTTGAAGAGTCGAAATAGGATAAACGGATCATATAAACCCGAAGGCACTTCTATATATATATACTTTTTTATATAGTTTTGATGACTGTGAGTTCTAACGATACAAGATTCTGAACCTCCGAAAGGCTGTTATTCGACATGATCATTATATTTCCAAATTGCATTCTCGTAATGACAATATGTTATTTTTCAGGGAGACAATTTTTTGTTGTCCTATCTCAGGGTTGTGTTTACGTTTTTCATGATGATCATTCATCATCTCCGAAAGTTCACTTCTCTCTTATGAATTATCACAAGTAAGTAGCATTTACTATGTTTTTGTGTCATGGGTTGTCACAAGTAAGTAGCATTTACTATGTTTTTGTGTCATTGGTTATCATAAGTAAGTAGCATTTACTATGTTTTTGTGTCATTGGTTATCATAAGTAAGTAGCATATACTATGTTTTTGAGTGATTGGTTATCATAAGTAAGTAGCATTTACTATGTTTTTGTGTAATGGGTTATCACAAATAAGTAGCATTTACCATGTTTTTGTGTCATGGGTTATCGTAGAATGAATTTCATAACAGCGAGGACATGGACACATAGTAATTAAATGTTATCGTGTGTATCACTGACTGTCGACAACAAAGACTTCACTAAATTACAGTATGTCAAGGGCCTCTCAATGGGGATATACGCAATTACTATCTTTACGCATGTCCATTCATAAAATAAAAGTTTTTGCATGAAAGTTCATAGGAATTTGTTTTGAATATTTCTATATACTCACAACAAAAAGTTTCTTTTGACAGAATGATTATATTCAGAGGTGATATCACCAAGCAATCGAGAGAAAAAAGTTCTTGCACAAACGTTCTGTGGCTCCTTAAAGAAATACGAAAACTTTTATTCGTACGAGTTAATGTAGAGTAACCTACGATCAACTTTCATACTAAGATTATTTTTGTTGTTAATAAGAGCCCGGACCTTTATAAAAAAAATTTTTAGCCCTCTGAGCTGCATATTTTTTGCACGGAACAAATTTAAATTCCCATCGAAGATTCCAACGATCAGATTTTCGTGAACATTTAAATAGCATTCTAACAAAAAATAACTCGTGAAAATATCAAGAAGCATATGAATCCGGTCTTGGGTGCAAAGTTTACGTTGATTGGAGCCAGAGTAGCTTTTGTGGAAACATTGATATTTATTTTAGATTTTGTTATACCTGAACATGTATAACAAAAGTTACGGGATCTATATTCTTTTACTACAAATTAAGCAGGTAATTTCAATGATTTGGTCTTTCTCCGCTATTTTTTTTTTTTGCTATTTGAGGACGCATATTTGAGACAATTCTGTAAAAACGTTTATTTGCAATTTTATTCATGCTGATTTCAAAAGCCTCTTGCATAGCCGTCCCCTCCCTTATTTTAATTGAATCAGGAATGGTCGCCCCCTTACAATTTGAAATTGTACTCACTTCTTTTTCGGTTTCTGTGTTTCAATATATATCCATGAATTTAATGATAAGTTCACAATACATCTGTTTTGGAATAATAAATCATGTGCACAAAACTAAACTGGTCAACTGTAACACGAGATAATGTACAGGTTATTATGTCAACATAGCAGTAACAGTGTAATAATATCTTTTAGACTGGGTGCAATCGTTTAATTATTCTAGTATAAAAGGTATTGTGAACATATTTAATTCATGGATAGATACTGAAACACAATTTAACAAAAATTAAGTACAATTCTAAATTAAATCGCTGTGATCCGTCCAATCGTGCACATTTCCTTATAGGACATGTATTATTTAGCATACGTATACCCCCGTCAATGTATGTATTAGTGTTTGTTTACAAATAAAGCATGTTTTATTTTTTATTTTGGCGATTGACCAATCCACTGAACGATTTGCAATGCATGATGGATTACATGTCTATAACTGACACACTACTTAATTTTTCACTTATTGCCAGAAAAGAATTTTTCCTTACTTTTTAACCGGATTTTCGAAGGAAAAATCGGTTATTGATTTGAGGATTTACGGCGGGCGGGCGGGTGGGTGTGCGGTTGGACGGGTGGCTGCCAAACAGTGTCCGTTCATTAACATGAAAAAGCTTTTACGAAATCTTTTCAAATTTAAATATGTTGTTTCCTGTGACTAAATGAAGGTTGAGTTCAATTTTCACGATTTTAGCTTTTCTCGTTGTTGAGTTGTAGACCTTTCAGTAGCGATAAGTGATGTTTATTATATGATTTATTTTTATTTTGAGTTATTTCCCTTTGAACAGAAATGGTGTAATTAATAAGTATATGGATAGATAGTCTATCAATGATTGTATCTGTTCAATTGATTTTAGTCAGGAGTTGTAAAAATTTCTGTATAACTATTTTTTTAAGTCATGTGTGTTTTGAAGGTAGATGTCACAGTTGTTATTTGGTATTTTATTTTTGTTTGGTGTGTTAATGTTAAATTTTTACTTGATCCTGTTTGGGGGTCCAGATTTGCAAATATCATTTTCATTAGATATAAAAATCTATTTTTATTAAAGGATATTTTTCATTACATAACATTGTGTAGATAAAGTTGTTGACATTGATAGATAAGTTGCAAGTATTAGTTTGTGACCAATGAAAGAAAAAAAATTGGGAACTATTAATTATATATATAAAGTTTGATTACACTAAGTGTTTTTAAGATATCAAGTTAAAGCATGTGGTAATTATCAATCACACAATTATAATTGGAGTGACAGATTTATTTGAAAAGTTTGTGTTTCCTAAGTGTTGTTGATGATAAGCTCTGTAGGACTTTATAAATATAGTTTGAAATTTACTGTTCATTATTAGACATTTTGAAGATAATTACAGATAGGTTTTATTGATTTTTAAAAGACATTGTATTAATGATAAATGATATTTTGGAATTTTTTTTGTTCTTTTCTTTGGAAAATTGTTTGTTATTCTGTATAAACTAATTTTCTGAATGCTATATATATATTTTTTTACTTGATCCTGTTTGGGGGTCTAGATTTGCAAATATCATTTCCATGCAGGAAAATCCGGTCACTCTGACAGCCTCTTGTTCTCTCTTCATTACTTTGTGATATCACCTCTGAATATACTCATTCTTTCAAAAGAAACTTTTTTCTGTCAGTATATAAATATATTCAAAACAAATTCCTATAAACTTTCATGCAAAAAGAATTATTTTATGAATGGACATGTGTAAAATAGTTATTATGTATATCCCCATTGAGAGGCTCATCTTCGCTAGCCAAGGATATCGTGATAGAGTGGAGGGGAGTGGATCGTAACCCTTGGCTAGCTCTGGAGAGGAGGGGAGTGGATCGTAACCCTTGGTTAGCGAAGGTGTGAGAGGCCCTTTTTTTGTAGTGACATACTGTAATTGCGCGAAGTCTTTGTTGTAGACAGCCTGTGACCGACACGATATCATTTAAATATCAGGTGTCCATGTCCACACTGTTACGAAATTCATTCCAAGTAAGTAGCAATCAAATGCCTTTTTATATCCCGAGTAAAGTATCATAAGCGTCCTGTGGTATCTTAAGTAAGAGGCATAAACAGATTCTTCCCAGTGTCTTGTGGAATCTTAAATAAATAACTTAGAATATTTTTTTCTATGGCCTGCTGAATCTTGAATAAGTAGCATAGAAGATTATTTCTTGTACAATTGAGGTGTCTTAAAGAAGTAGCATAGAAGATTCTTTTCTGTACATTGTTCGTATCTTAAATAGGTAGCATAGAGTATTTTTTCCGGTGCACTTCGGTATCTTAAATAAGTTGCATATTATTTCCTGTGCCGTGCGGTATCTATAATAAGTTGCATAGGAGATATTTTCCAGTACCCGACAGAATCTTGGATAAGTTGCATAGGATATCCTTTCCAATGCCCTGCGGTATCTTAAATAATTATCATAGATTTTGTCCAGTGCCCTGCAGAATCTTGGATAAGTTACATAGGATATCCTTTCCAGTACCCTTCGGTATCTTAAATAAGTATCTTATGAGATTTTTTCTGTATATTTGAGGTATCTTATTAAGCTAGAGACAATTATTGTGTTTTTTTCGTCTTGACTCTTAAGTCATCTTGAATTATTAGCATGTATATACGATGCTTTTCAGTGTTCTGGGTTATCCTAAGCAAGTTGAATAGAAAATGCTCGCATTTATCATCAGTTAAACAAAGCAAGTAGCATGAATGCTGGCTTGTGTCTCGGGTTATCCTAATCAATTGGCTAAGACGATGATTGTCTGTGTCCTGAAAAAGGCATCATGACAATATCACAACGACAAACATGATGCATTTTATGATTTTAAACAATTTACTCGTTTGCTTAATGTGAAGAAACCTAAGATCATGTGAATACAACTGAGACAAGACGCACTACACTAAAAATCGGAAAACAAAATATCCATTTTGTCGTTATATTAAATACTTGCTTAAACGTTAAAAATGATCAATCAAACATTTGTGTATTTTAGATTAAGAAGGAATTTTAGTATACCCCACTCTTTTGAAATCCTGCCATGTTCCTCGGAGGGCAAAGTATACAAATTCAGTTGTGCAACAGATACGGAGAGGCTGGTATGTAAACACGAAATAAATACTTCTGTTTCTTTCTTAATTCACTTGAATATTGTTAAATTAGTACATCTTGCAGTTCTTATAACTAACCCGTATATCTTCTAATTAGATTTTAAGTGTAAGACCTCCAAGAATAAGTCTCCAATTTTCCTCTTTTTTCGTTTTGAGTAACAGCTTTGTATGATAATGTAATTATATATTAAATGTTTAACCACATGTATGTATTAATTTTATACTTATCACAAACAAATGTTCTATTATATTAGCGCAAGATTTAACAGACGGTTTATCAAAATTGAATAAGACCTGTACATATGTATTGTCTGTTTGTTAGGAGTGGATGAGAGCTATATATATATCGATGCTTGCAGTTCATAAAGAAGCCTTACCAGACCATGAACACATAAAGTAAGTATGATTAGTGTCCAACAGATGGGTAACGGACAGACAGACATATATACAGATAAACAGAAGAACTAACCGAGATAATAGGAATACATTGTAAAAGAGAAGTAGCATTTATGCCAACTCAAGGTTATGATTTAATTCCATGGATAGTACAATTGGTTCACAATTGTATAAGTTTTGAAATCTTGCGTATTTTGGCAGCTGTCTCGATTACACTTACCCAGTTTTCATTTTTACGTAAGATTACAATTTGAAGGTATGCTTAAGCCAAATTATTTCTACATGGAACTCTATAGTTATATCTTGTCGTTAAGGAAATGGGAAGGTTGAGACTGTTTCGATCTATTGATTTTCTGAGTTGTGATATTTTGATAGCCTAGTATCCTGGCCAAACCTTTTACTGAATTTTACTGGTAAGTGCGCTGACGTTTTCGAGTGCTAAACAGTAATCTTTATATCTTTATATAGATTAATCTTCTCGGCAATGAAATTTCACGAAAACATTTTTACCAAAATTTATTTGTTATATCAAAATGTTTTGTACTGAGAAAAAATAATATAATAATGAACGCGGACGAGTTCCTAATTTGATGACGTGTACCTATAAACTATAACTATAAATGGCTCATTATAAGCATATAATCAAGAGATAAGAAAAAAAGGAAACTGATTCGCACACACTTCACATCTCTAGCTCAGAAGAAGTTAGAATGAATATTTACCTATTAGGTAATTAAGATGATCTGTTTAAGTGTTGTTATAAGGATATTAAGTGCCAATCTGCCTAAGAATCAGGCAGTGATGAAAACATGACAAATAAAAACCCACTCAAGTTGACATAAATTTTAGTTCAAACTGTATAATGGTGCACGATTATGACATTTGTTCCTTTTTCTTGTTCTGGTAATTCAAGATATAATTTGGTTGAAATGCACTATTATAAAAAGTTATCAATTGAGGGGAGCTAACTCCGTAATTTGCTATCATTCTAAGAGGGTGGTAAAGGGTTATTTTCGTGCAACGTGTTTTGCCATTTTTATTTTACGTGCAGCCGTGAAAAAGGTTCGTTATTCATCGTGTTTCGTGAAATCGGTAAAAAGATCAACGTGCAAGAAATTTTTAATTGTTCGTTCATCGTGAAATGGCAATTTTATTTCGCGTTCTTCCGTGCAGATACCCCCCCCCCCCCCCTTTACGCCCCTCTTCTAACCAAAAGTTATCTAGAGATTTTTCGAATTACCAGACACGCAGACATGTATCCTTTTTTGTTCATGGACATTAAAAATTGTTTATCTGTTTAACACACATATTTGTAGTCTTCTTTTTCGTGTGAATACCATTGTCACTCTTATTTAATTATTTTCAGTTTATTATTTCAATTGTACTATACTGTATGCCATACCAATTAATGTAAATGTGTTTGTGCTAATAAATATTGTCTATTGTGCTGGAATTCTTCCAGTGGTTGCTTGTTTGGCCCTTTTAACATTTTTGATTCGAGCGTCACTGATGAGTCTTTTGTAGACGAAACGCGCGTCTGGCGTAAATATAAAATTTCAATTCTGGTATCTATGATGAGTTTATTGTGACTTGGCTGGAGAGTTGTCTCATTGACACTCATGCCACATCTTCTTATATCTATTATATCTATGTTACACTATAGTACACTATTTAATAAGTCTGTTTTCTTCCACCTAAATATCACTAATTTGATTTTAGATAATCAGTTAAAACACTAAATCTAGTTCATAGTAAGTTTATTGTAGTAAGAAAACTAGCACAGGTTCAACAGAAAGATTTTGAAAGCAGAGAAAACTGTGCACCTTACAATAAGCATGACTTTATCAGATGACAATACTAAAAATTCGAGCCAAGAATTAGGCGTAGGTACTTTACATCAGTCACAGATGTCGCGGGTGTGTTCTAATTTGAATAATAATAATCGGGGGTTCATCAATGTTTCCATATTTTAATAGTATCAAATTATTATGTGTTTAATGAATATTTCAATCATACTGACATTCAAACGATGGTCGATATCTTCATTACAGACTAAAAAAACCCGAAGAATATAATCTTCTCGAATCAACCGTCGGTGCCTCGGCTTCTGCAGCAAAGCTTTATGAGATAGAAGATGAAGATGAGTCGTCAGATGACAATTATGACAAACCTGATGAGTCTATCGTAAAACATAATAAATATGAGCCTGATCCAAGTAAGTAGCTGTTGCATCATGTATTGATAAGAAGAAATTAAAGTTCAAATCTGATTAAAGAGGTCCAGCTTTCGGACCTTAAATGGTTGAACTGTGAATGTGAATGATTTGAAAAGCTTCAATTCTTATGTACAATGTACAAAAAAATCAAGAAAAAAATCAAAAAATGAAAACAACACTTTATAAATTGCATGCGTCCAAAGCGCTTTTCTGGAATTACCATTATCAGGAACGCTAAAAGCCGAATATTTGAAAGTCATCGATGTATAAGAACCGAAACATTAAGAGATACACAATCGTATTGAATATATGATAATTTTCTTGATAATTCGAAAATAAAAAAAGATGACAAATGTCCCCCTGCCGAACTTCAAAACGAAATTCCACTTGTTTATCTTTCCAGCTTTATGAATTAATCGTATTATCTAGCGCTGAGAAAACCTTGAAATATAGTGGTGATAAAAAGATAAAATTGTTTCACATTTGGTTATGTCGGGGTCTTTTATAGATATGTATAGGGTTTTGCTCATTGTTGAACAATCATACCATATCTGCTTATTCTAAATTGAATATAAGAAATTTTTATTGACATTTCTATCTTAACTTGAAATAATTTTAGCTCTTTTACTGCTTTTGTTATTTGTAATTCGAAAATTTAGTAACACATACAGAGGACTGTGTCATATAAATACTCGGTTTGATATTTATACAGTACATGTACTATCATCACTTTATTCTCCCCCATTGATCCGAGCGTTTACATTTATAAAATATTTTAAAAAAGTATTGGTATTAAATGTGATTTTTTGTTGTTGAGAACTTGTCCAGTGTTTCAAGGAAGATTTCACCTTCCCCTGCCGAAAAATGAAAAATTCTTTTCTTTCTCTTACTAGCTACGAAATACGTATCAACAACTGGCACCATTCCAGAAGAGACAAATTCTAAAAGAATACAAAAATCATTTTCAGAACAACGAGAGACATATGAAGATGCTGCCTCGCCGAATGAAACCGTAAAACAAAGGAGTTTTTCTGAGGGGACCGTGAACGTTAATGCTGGAAACACTAGTGTAGATACTGTCAATTCTACTTCAGTGCAAACAAAAACTAAACCAAAACCCCAAGTAGCACCCAAACCCGCTAAACCAGCAAAACAAAAAATGTACATCAATTCACTAAATGCGCCTGAATCATCTAATTCAAGGACAAAATCGCCTGCATCGCGATTACGTATGACAGCACCAGATTCCCATTCACGAACGAATTCACCAGCCTCAAATTTACGCACCTCATTGCCATCTCGTTCACGAACAGAATCACCACCAACAGAACTTCAATTGCCAGTATCTTCAGATTCAAGCTCTAGGCCTTCCTCACGTGAAAGTGACAAGCAGTCAAGATCCCCAGAGCCTACTATATCGACACCCAGGAAAACACCACCTTGTTTCACAAAGCGTGGCAACTTGGGGGATACTAATTATTTAAACATGACAGAGGAAGCAGGCTATGTGCAGCCAGATCCCGGACTTGATCCAGCGTCGGAATACATGTTTAGCGGAAACAGAGATGACAGTGCACGGTGAGTTTCTGTAGTAACTATTGCAAATGACAACTGAAAAATAATAAAGTTCATTAATAAATGACAGATTTTAATCACATTATATTGTTATGAGTGTGTTTTTAAAACAGCTTAATATTTTAAGACTTCTCCAGTCTATCTATATTCTGGTCATTAAAAAAAAGGACAAGGGTGAAGGTTTGGTACCATTAAAACGTTTAAACCCCTGCAATTGTTTGCACCTGTCCTAAGTCAGGAATCTGATGTTCAGTAGTTGTCGTTTGTTGATGTGGTTCATAAGTGTTTCTCGTTTCTCGTTTTTTATATAGATTAGACCGTTGGTTTTCCCGTTTGAATGGTTTTACACTAATAATTTTTGGGGCCCTTTATAGCTTGCTGTTCTGTGTGAGCCAAGGCTCCGTGTTGAAGACCGTACTTTGACCTATATTTGTTAATTTTAATAAATTTTGACTTGGATGGAGAGTTGTCTCATTGGCACTCATACCACATGTTCTTATATCTATATGTAATTCAGATATATGTGCTGAATTGACAAAATTCATATTATGATGGTGGCGAAAAAATACATACGTCTTTTACTGAATAAATACTTTAAAATATTTTAGGGAATTACAATTGCTGGCAGACCGAACTTTCTTAGTTAGAGATTCTTCTGAACCCGGGAAAAAGGTAACTATAATGATTGAAACTGTCACTTTCTTGCTATGTTTGAAAATAAAGAGATGTGGCACGATTGGCAATGAGACAAATATCTAGATGGGTAGATTGGTGAATTGATGTGTAACGTTCAATGGTAAATGTCACATTCATATCAGGATGAGAACAATTTGATGTGATAAGAATACAAGTGTTCTAGACCGACACGCTGAGTAAGATTTTTAATGTGATAATTTACAACGTAACAGTTCACAAGAAAACATGTTCGAACACTTTATTCTGACTCCGAACCGAACAGTCTTTCCTTCTTAGCGGAGAAGCAGCAACTACCATTTTTTAAGTCTTTTGTTAAACCCGGTCATGAATCGAACAAACGACCTCCAGCACTTGAGGCAAGATTGCACACGCTACCATGACACAACCGATACGATTAAAATACCAAAGCACAAGGATGTAAACACGAACAGGTCACTTTGCGGCCTTCCACAATAAGCAATACCCATGCCGTGAATATATATATATTAAACTATAAAAGACCCCGGATGTGGTATTTATTTACGGATATTAGTCTTTTTGGCAACCATACAACATTGCAAATAAGTATATTATATATTTTTTTAGTATGAGCAATACCATTTTCTTATATTACCAAAATTATGTGTTTACAATGATGAACGGGAGTCATTAAAGATAGAATATTCCAAAATATAATTACACTATTGGGTTTTATTCATGGTTTTTTATCTTGCCTATTTTACAAAAGTGGCAAGCTAATACAAAAGACAATTGAAAAAACAATATATAACACAGCATGAATAATATTTATTGTACTGTAATACTTCGAACATTTTGGAGGACCAAGACCATTTTCATAATTCTAAAGATTCCTTTATTAAAGCCACCGATTTTTTTTACATGAGTTTATGTTAACTTGGAAAATGTCTGACCTTCAAACTGTTAAACTGGTTTTATATTATTAGTTTTTAAAAACAACTGATATTGTAAGGTTGAGTCCAGTTTACTCAGTGTCTGCCTAATTGTGTCTTTTTTCACTTCACCATTTATTTATTTTCTCTTTTATAGGTTTTAGTGGTGAAAACCAAAGCTGGGCTTAAGTCGTACAAAATCGAAATCGAAAAACACGTAAGTAATCCTTGTGTTCAGTCAGTTCGGCATATCAATTACTATTATTATCAAAACAGCTGCATTATCATTTCTACAAGATCAAACAAACTGCACTCTGCAAATGTTTGTTTATGTACAAATGTGCAAGGTCAAACAAACCACACTCTGTATATGATTGGTTAGGTACCAGTGTACAAGGTCAAACAAACCACACTCTGTAAATGATTGGTTATGTACCAGTGTACAAGGTCAAACAAACCACACTCTGTAAATGATTGGTTATGTACAAGTGTACAAGGTCAAACAAACCACACTCTGTATATGATTGGTTAGGTAGTTCCATATTTGGAATTAGAAATGGAAGGATATTAAAACGTTCAGTATAACAATAATAATATGTGGTATGATTGCCAATGAGACATACATTCAACAGAGACCAAATGACGTGAATGTAAGCAACTTTAGTACCATCAACGATGAGCAAAACTATGTAGTTATAAAAGGCCCCGACATGGCAACAAGTGAACCAATTCAAACGTGAAATACCAGCAGCCTAATTTATGACAAAGCAATAAACAAATATGTTTTGTGTCGTAAAAGTTCAAAATGATTCGGTTCCAACCGGTTGTCTTTTTTGTATCCCTTGTCCACTTAAAAGCTTTGCCTTTGTTCTTCTCTGTTGAGGTCATTAGACATTCTTCTAGCCTCTTCGAAATTGAGTTTTGTCTCCAGATCATTGCAAAAATACGTGTGATGATCTTAAGATTATTGCTATCGGTTCTGTTGGGCTTTTTACTGACGTTTATCCTCAAGCGTTTACCCAATAATATCACACATATAAGAATACTACTTGATAACACAATGTTTAATCCTTTTCAGAGTGAAAAGTTCATGATTGAAGCCAATTTGACGTTTGATACACTGCACGAAGTTTTAGAACATTATAAAAGACACAACCTTCCAAATATAGGTATCCCTTTAAGACTCGGATACAATGCTAAACAAAGTTCTGTACCGGATGATGACGACTACGAACCTGTTGGACAACCATTACTGTAGTGTTCGAACACAAATCAGTGATATACAATGCCTTGAGTTGGGTAATCTCGATTGTTTGGTAATTCTGCAGTATTTTTACATACCGACATAATTTAATCGTTTATTGACTTTATCCAGAATCTCCATGTAGTATACTCATCAATTTTTTATACTACCGCAAAATTTCTGCGGCCGTATAATGGTATGGCGATGTGTCCGAAGACATTTGGGCCCCATTTTTAAATTGGTCCACATTGAGGATTAAAGATTCCACTTTGTTTGATTTCATCAAAAATTGAATTATTTGGGGTTCTTTGATATGCCAAATCTATTTGTGTTAATAGATATTTTTTTTTTGACCCCGTTTTCAAATTAAGGTCCAAAATTAAATTTTGTTCGATTTTAACAAAAAATGAATTCTAAGGATTCTTTGATATGGTGAATCTAAACGTGACTGTATTTAGATTTTTGATTTTGGGCCCAGTTTTTAAGTTGGTCCAAATCGGGGTCTAAAATTAAAATTGAATATATGGGGTATTTTGATAAGCTGAATCTTACAGTGTATTTACATTTTGGATTTTGTGTCCCATTATCAAATTTGTTCACTTTGAGGTCCAAAGGATGCAAAATTAAACTTTGTTTAATTTCGTCAAATTGAACCCTTGGGTTCTTTATTATGCTGAATGTTACCATGTATTTATATTTTGGATATTGCCTATAATAGGTAAATGTCCAATTTCAAATTTTCAAGACCACATTAATTCTGTGTCAGAAACCTATGCTGTGTCAATTTGACAAATATTTAATCACAATCCAAATTCTGAGCTGTACCAAATAAAATTGAGAATGGAAATGGGGAATGTGTCAAAGAGACAACAACCCGACCATAGAGCAGACAACAGCAAGCTTGAAAGTTTTGTCCATAATTTCCCCAAGGGTTCAACCTCTGCGGTCGTATCAAGCTGCGTCTTTCGGAGCATTTTATTTTTTTATGTATGCCTTTTTCATTAGATTCACAAGTTGTGAAATCTTGATTGTTTGGTAATTTTGTAGTAATTTATCATACTGAAAAAAATGAATCGTTGACTGAATTTATCCAGAATCTCCGACTACTCAATTCTCTTCAACTTTCTTATGTTTATTGTCTCCCGCGTAACGTGTTGCGGGGGACATGGAAATACCGGGCGTCCGTCCGTGTGTACGTCCGTCCGTCCGTCCGGTCTTGTTAGCGCTCTCACAGGTACAATTCTTGCCAGATTTTTATAAAACTTATACTACAGGTTAATATCAGCATTATCTCGGACAAGTTCTATAATGGTGGCCGATCGATTTTTTTAAAAAGAGTTATGCCCCTTGGAAATATTAAATATGTGCAACGCGGGGGACATTGGAACTCTGTTCTTTTATATTTATACCTTTTTCATTAGACTCACAAGTTAAACTGTCATTTATAGTTTTATTAATGCTTTTTAATATGTTGCATCCAAGAAATAGTTATGTATGTATATTGATTTAACTTATGAGTAATAAAAATATATATTTGACAAAGGAACTTATTTTTTCATGAGAGGTGATATACAACTTCATTGTACAGTTGTAAGGTTGTATGTGTTGATGTCATAAAACGGAATGGTTGCGTACAAATACTTTCTCTAACCTGGGACTATTATACTAATACATTATGTCCCAGCTTTAACCAAATGAATCAACGACCAATGAATGACAAGTTATATTATAATGATTATAAATTGTTCGTTTTGGTGTCATAAAACGAAACGGTTGTGTACAAATACTTTCTTTAAACAATCACCGGACAATAAATGACATTTTATATATAACGATTATAAACAGACTTAATTGTAAGTGTTTCTCGTTTCTCGTTTTTTATATGGATTAGACCGTTAACACTAGTAATTTTGGGACCCTTTATAGCTTGCTGTTCGGTGTGAGCTAAGGTTCCATGTTGAAGACCGTACTTTGACCTATAATGGTTTACTTTTATAAATTTTGACTTGGATGGAGAGTTGTCTCATTGGCACTCATACCACATCTTCTTATATCTATCTATTACAGAAACAATAATGATAATGCTATAATGATATGAAGTTAGCTATGGCAGTTGTTTTCTTATTGTAAAACATTAATAACAAATCAAGTCCACAGTGTTGTATAAAATTATTTCTTCATGTTTACGTGAAAGAAGTCAAATACATCTGTTTTCTGTATTTTGATTATTGAAATTAATTCATTTTTTTAAAGCAGAATCGAACATCGTTAATAGTCGAACGTGTATGAAAGTGAACAAAATTAGATTTTGCTTGAGCTCCCGAACAAAGCATCACATCTGACCTAAATTCCATGTAAGGGTGTTATACGATTTTAATTTTCTTAAACAAAAAAAAATATGACTAGTTAAAGAGAGCATTACACAGGTGATAGTTCAATACTGATTAAATGAAAAGTTCAATGATCAGTATACAGCGTTTTGCCATATTTTACAAACTTTCTAAAAATAAGTGGGAGACGGTTATGTTTTGATGTCCATGCAAGGAACACATTCTCCTCAAGTGTCTTATTATTTAGTTTAAACATATTTTATTTACTCAAAGTAAAATGGATTGGACACTAGTAAACCATACTTATGAAGTCCGCTCCGAATAACAATAAATTACAATACAATATTAATGTGAGCATGCAATAATTCAGAATATACAATACTATAAGAGTCTATCTATTGAAAAAAAAAATAAAACAATAATAACAGAAACATTGGTAATGATGATGAGGATGATGACGTGAATGTACCGCAAATACACTAACAAGAAATCTCTCAGACCTTTTAATAAACTCGAATACATGTTTAAATATATTGACGTTTTGTTCATACGAAAGGTTCGGATTACCAGATGTTAGTAACTTAACATTTAATAATAGGTCACCAGGGAGCCATCTTAGATTGTTCATCAGAATTTCTCTCTGGTGTGTTTATAAAGAACAGTCGAAAAGGAAATAAGGAAATGGTGTACAGTCTCAATGTTGCATTTACAAAAACAAGATGGGTCAGCAATTATATTGACTCTAAACAAGTCATAGTTCAAGAAAGATGAATAGCATCTGAATTGTGTTAGAATTATATTTAGTTTCCTCGGTCCATATAAATAGTGCTTCGGTACATCTTTATTTATAGTATTTAGCCTTTTTAATTGGATTTTAAATTTTGAGATAGAGTCTGATTTTCGAAGGGACAAATCGGTATGATTCCATAGTCTAATAGTTGATGGTATAAAAGATTCTTTAGTAAGGGATAATCTACAAAAAGGAACAATGATATCATTGCCATTTCGCAGGGGATATACAGTTGTGCTCTGTACACTGGGTGGAACTAGATTACATAGATAATCCGGAGCATGTTTATATTGAATGTTATAAAACATTTGTAATTTTCGTCTTTTCCTCCTGTCAGCTAAAGTTTCCCACCCAACTTCCTCATACAGATTTTCAGATTTTGTAAATATAGGCAAACCAGTAACTATTCTAACAGCTTCTAGCTGCAAACTTTCATGTTTATTAGCATATCCAATTCCACAATTATCCCAAACCTCAGTTGCATATTCAAAAATTGATCTTATAAATACTATATAGAGTTTTTCTAAGTTTTTCCTACAAAGTTGATACTTGAGTTTTCTCAGTATATTTAAATGTTTCGTTACACTAATAATCAGATTGTCTATATGGCTTTTCCACCGAGCATCAGAGCAAAACGTTACCCCAAGGTGTTTGTGACATTTTGTAATAGGAATTTCTTTGTTATTTAAGGAGAATTTTAGATCTGGAGCGTCATTATTTGAAAAAATCATTATTTCTGTTTTGTCTGGATTAAAAGACATAAGCCACCTTCTTGACCATTCGTTCAGCTCCTCGAGGTCACGACCAATAACATTTTTTATATGTTCTTCGTCGTGCCCGGAGTAATTAAACTTATTATGTAGTCGATGATCTAACTTTGAATCTGTTTATTAATGATGAATCTGTAACTATTGAACATCAGGACTCATATTTGATCACCAATGAAAACATAGTTACAGGACAGGGTCCTTATCTATCACTATAAAAATAGAGTTGTGCATCTTAAAATAAGAGTATAGTCAAATGACAGGGATTACGGACTATAGATAAGTAGAACCCTGTGTATTGAGTGCGACTGCTCCTGTAAAAAAAGGGTGTTTTAACTGCCAAAAACATTTTTTGTCTATTTATCAGCAGTGGGAAATCTTGTGACAAAATATAACCTCCCCTGTACACACTGAAAACTAGATCTTTTCAATGTTTGTCCCATTTTAGCAAGGACGCTATCAATTATAAATTCACGGGACGTTCTGGTAAATAATGAAAATAGAAATAAGTTGAAATAAAAACAAAACTTCCATTTAATGTTATCATTTCCCTTCTTAAATAGAAAACGACGAGTACAGCAGACTAAAGGAGCTTGGTGTAAAATTGGTTTAAAATGTTACTTTGCAAATGAATTCCTGGAGTACCATATGCAATTTATTTTATTACTGACTGTATACCTCTCTGGAATATGCTAATTATCCGTATGTATCTGCAGCTAGATCAGAGAAAGTCAGGGAAAAAATTCCAAAGGAATCGATTGATATGCAGCAAAGATTGGCACTTTTGAAATTAAGTTACTAAGCAAATTCAGACGGACCTTATCCCAATGTAAACATTGAATGTGAATAGATCGAGAAGACCGCAAATACATGTACAAAAATCGAGACGACCTTTTCTTAAAATTGTATAAATAATTTTTTAACCTGCACAAACAAGACTTCTGTATTGTTATATTCATGAAAGACAATATTTCTATATTGAATTTTCATGTGACAAGAGGAGACCGGTGTACTCGAAAAATTAGAATGTGAAAAATAAGTATATTTTGGGAAATTGTAAGATGCTAAGGAATTTGTGGAACACTCCAAAAATTGGTGACCCGAAAGATCTTTAGATTTTATATATAGATGATTTTTTCCCATTTTTTTAATCAATATTCAGCAAAGATTGGCATTTTTTTAGATTTCATTTTCACAAGCTTCGAATGCAATTATCTCGATAAATACTGAACTTAAAACATCGTGTATTTGTATGTATGTTTCTAACACAGTTTAACAAATAATTTCTATAAAATGTACAATTGTTATTTAGAAAATAATTTTTGATCAGTATCGTCACCGGCATTGTTTTATTATTGATTTTCTTGACTCTGTCATAAGAAGAGGTAATTTTCGTTAATTCTTTTTCACTAGATTTCCCACTGACCTTTAAAAAAAGAAATGCAATCGTGAACCTAAATGACTGTCTGGCATGAAAGGTCAGATAATTGTTATATGAAGAAACATGATTTTACCTCATTATTTTATTATGAAATGTAGAAAAACTGACATGGATTCTTAATGAAGCTGCTGTTCATATGGGGCATCATTTTCTTGTTAAAGAAATTATTTCTGTCTCTCCCATCCCTCTCCTTCAGATAGATAACATTACAACATGCATTCTGATTAAAATTCAGATCTATCTTAACTCGCGTGCTCGTACATATAAGCATATGTCAGGGGCGGATCCAGACATTTTTAAAAGGGGGGTTTCAACCTTATGTCCCCATTCAAAAACATTGATCGTCAAAAAAGGGGGGTTCCAACCCCCAGAACCCCCCCCCCCCCCCTTCTTTTTCCCCCAGGATCCGCCACTGATATGTAAATGTGAAAACAGCCTTTGTTTTGAAGAAGTTTAATTATATGAATCATTATTATTTATTTTTGTAGCCAGTTTGAAAGTAGTTCAAAATCCTAAGCTATATTCTTATTCGTTAATTCCGAACTAATACCATCTTGGAAAACCAATTACACTGGTTTACATATGGTTAAGTCATTAGCTATCATATTCAAGATATGCTTGATCTCAATGAAATTATAACCCAGGCAACAAACTCCAAACATACTTTTAGAGTAGAAACAGTTTGAAACCACAACTTTATACTTAAATCAGTTTGCTCAAGCAAATCTCACTTTTTTCATTTCATAACTTGTCCTTTTGTAAATTAGCCAAAATATAGTTGTTGATTTGTTGTTTTATACGATTCTGTAACAGACAGAGGGAAGCAGGAATAACAGTGCCAATTCAGTATAGCACATGTCCAAAAATCCTGTTTTTGCAATCGCATGTTCGTTGAATACGGATATTGATTTTAAGAAAAATAATGTTTTACCAAAAAAGCTCTAGACATCTGTCAACTAGATCCTCTACATTCGCTTTTGAATACAGATTGCCTCTACTCCTTGAAAACAAATTGACGGAATTCCCAGAAACTTGCACTGATTCTTCTTTAGGTGGGACATGAAGTTGTGCACCAGCTACTTCAACTTTTAATCTGATTTTATTTTGTGGGTAGGTGGGTTGTTTCACATTCCAAATAAAAGAATTGACTTTGCAATTTATAACTATATGTTTTGGAGAGGGTAGTCGACACACGTGCCCATTGGAAAACTCACACCTTTTCCTAAAGAAATTAACATACGAATCTCCAATTTTATTAAATAATCATGAATAGATAACATTCATATTCCTGTTATTTTAAGTTTTTGGACAATTGCTAATATATTCTCGCAAATCACATACCGGTAGTAAATCATAATAGTTTTTAATGCCAAACATCGAGGAACATATCAAACCTCTTTTTTTTTATTTCATTAACCATAAGTTTTAAATAGGTAGAGATTTATTGCCTCAATCCAAAGAATATAACTCCCTGTCTGCAAATCGTATCATATCTATAGAATTATTATAAAGACTCAAACGCATATTCATGTATGAACTGTTTCGACTATGACATATAATTTCTTCATTTAACACACATAAAACGTGGCTTTAAATTTCGTCGTAATTTCCAGGGTTAACTTTTTTTTTTTTTAAGTATGGTTTCTTCAAAAAAAGGAAGATGTGCTATGATTGCCAATGAAAAAACACTCCACCAGAGACCAAGTGACGTAGAAGTTAACAACTATACGTCACCGTACGACCTTCAAGTTGACACAATACCCAAATCGCATAGTACAATTCATATGAGAAAACCAACTACCTGATTTCATTGCGTTGTCTTTTGCCTTTTTTTTTCCTTATTTATATTTATTTTGATAAAAATGTAGAGCCCTATATAATTACTATTAATAGAAATTCATTATCTTATCTATGACTGTATCTTTCATCAGTCAATCTCTATAAAAGACATTCGTTATTTTATTTCTGACCCTGTATTAGTATTTCACCACTGCTATTGCATATGCATAATAATTTTTCTTTGAAATCAATCCCAAACATTGAAGTATTCCTACAGAATCGTCGACATACCCTTAAACATATTTATATAACTTAAATTTATATGTTAAAAATGTAACATCTTATATCTGCATTTTACACACCTCAAAGATTCTTTATGGTTAAGTTTGTTTTTCTTTAATTTATTTTCTTTTTAGTCTAGTTTGTATTTTGATAACGACAAAGGGTAAATTGTTCAATATTTTACCAGTTAAATATCATTTTATGAAATTATAATAATTCCATTTTTGTTATTTCAATTGAAATAGGAACAATTTCAGAAACACCTTGATTGTTCACATCTTTCCTGGACGTAGAATTTTAATTGCGGCTTAAACGGAAATGACCCTTTTTTAATTTCGCTAAAATGGCTCAGTTTGAAAATCTTAAAAACGCCCTATCCATTGACCGTCACTTTTTTCGCTTGAAATCATCTTGATCTCCAATGTGAACACAGCTTGTATTTCAAAACCCTTAACATATGCGACTCTATTTTCATTAGCTACTTATGTAGGATATCAATTAGTCTCGATTAACACTTATCTCTATAGCAACTGTTAGACGCTAATACATATTCATAGATAAATTAACACTTATTACGCAAGTGGCAATAGAAAAAAACATATGTATTCCGAAAAGACAGTATGCATTTCCGGTATTCCGAAAGACTACAAATTTGACCAACCCTCAGGGGTTCACGCAATGAACAAGGAAAATGATAAAAGGATTGATCAGGGTGTTATCTGTTGATTATGAACTACATTTAGCTTCTGTCCAAATTCTGTATAATTCATTGAAGGTTTGACATATATATGATATATAGTTTTTCAAGGCCTTTGATTTTCTATTTCATCATCTTTAGTCATAGACTGTACCAAAGACATATAATTATGTGTATTATATGTCTCTGATTTTTCCTGAAACATGACTGAAAAAGGGAACTTAGTCCATGTATAAGCAAAATACGGAAAGACTGGCAAGAAGCTTCTGAAAAAAATGTCTGAATATTTCATGATTGTTTTAAAAAGTCATGAATGTTTTTAAAAAAAAAAACATTTCTGTAGATTGTATCTAAATGGTAACTCGCATAGTCCATTCATTAGTATAATACGGCACATAATAATAAAAGTAATAGTTGTTTTCTTCGGGTGCTATTTCTTTACTATGAAGAAGCCTTGATCTTTGAAGTTCTGTAAAGTTTGATGTAGGTTTGACAAAGAAACATTAGTTTACATAGAAAACTAAAGACTCGGCAACGTAAACCCTACCAAAAACAGGGTGTAATCTCAGCAAAAGTTGACTTATTTGTAAATATTATCTTGCTGATCATTTTTGCTTTTAAAGTGTCTATCTATTCTTTATAGTTTTTAAGATATTAGGCAAAACGCAAAACAAAATGGTAAAAATCATGCCTACAGGACAATAACTCCAATAAGGAGTTGTTGGACATTTTTGGCCTTGACGACTTATTTGCAGATCGTGTCTTTTAACGTGTCTCTCTTTCTATTATAATTTTCAAGATGATAGGTATAAATGGGTAAAACTCGTCATTAAAGAACAACAACTCCATTAAGGAGTCGTCGGACGATCGTTCAGGCTATGTAGACTTATTTGGCGATCTTGTCTAGTTTATCATTTTTGCCTTATTTAAGTTATTATCTATCTATTATAGTTTTAAGATATTAGGCATAAACGCAAGAAATTGGCAAAATGTATCATTAAAGGGCAATAAGTCATGTAAGAAGTCGTCTGACAGTTTTAGTGTAAATGAATAAAAGGCAAATTTCAACATTCTGAGATGTCTTTATTCATAGCGGTTTTCTAGATAATACACAAAACTTGCATTTTACCCCTATGTCTATTTTTAGGCATGTCGGCCATGTTGGTTGGTAGGCGGGGTCATCTGACACATTTTTTAAAAAACTAGATACCCCAATGATGATTGTTGCAAAGTTTGATTAAATTTGATCCAGTAGTTTCAGAGGTAAAATTTGGTAAAAGTTAATGGACGACGACGACGGTAGATGGACTCTAAGTGATGCGAAAAGCTCACTTTGCCCTGTGGGGAAGGTGAGCTAAAAAGGAGGTTTAAATTAATTCGTATTTTTAAATATACATACATCGTACAAGTAAAACTAACTGAACCAAATGTTACCAGTAGCTTCAAACTATCACCTCTAATTTTCATGTTTTCAAGATCTTACTTTAATATAATTATTATATTTCCTCCTTATTTAAGCCCTAGTACTTTCAAAACTGATTGTAGGAGCATCTTACCTGAAATATAATCAAGTCATGTCGTAAAAACATTTGATAAACTTTTCACAATAAATGTTTTATAGAGATATATCGAACGGATTATGTTATAAAAGTGTGTTTCTTTAGTAGTTTATAACTATGGCGACATAGTCAGTTTTGTTTTACAATCTTAAAGTGTGCCCAATTTCTGAAGAGTAATACTGAATTTATATCAAAAACGCATGCACTGCACATACTTAGAAACAAAAATGTTTAACAAAATATTTTATTAACTCAACAACTGATCACTTCTGACACGTTTCCGTTTTATTGCACTTTGTTGCAGATACATTTACATGTTGTTTTCCATGCTCAAACTCTAAAAGTACGGTCATATAATTCTGAAATATACTGTTCCTTTGTTTGTTACTTGGTACGAAGATTCCGGATGACCCGGAACATACATAACATATCCTGATGTTTTCAGTGAATGTCTGTGATACTTTGGTTTGACGTGGATTGAATGCTCGTGTGGATTGACGTGGATTGAATGTCTAACAACTGTTTGGTTTGTTCGATCACGTGCTCTTTCACTTGCGTCTGACAGAAATACCCGCCTTTTCACTTGTGCATTGAATGATACTCTCTTAGGGTTAATTTTAGAGCTATTTTTTCCAAGTTTACTGCCACAGTCAATACATGAGTCTGAATCGTCACTAGAATTTTCACAATTTGATATGTAAACACTTTGAGTTTCTGTACAGCTAGAACATCTTGAATCGCAATTGTCTAAACTACTGCTATCCGAAGTACTTTCTTTGCGAAGAATTCCATTAAGCCTCGAACTCTTTGATGCTGTTGGTGAGGAGGCACTTATCTCTGATTTTGGCGAAAAAATATTCTTAAGGAAAGACATGGCTACCTGAAATTAAAACAGATAATATATAAACTATGAACGGATATATATGATGTTCGCACAATGTAGGAAAAAGTAAAATAACAAAAATACCAAACTCCAAGGAAAATTCAAATCGGAAAGTCCCTTATCAAATGGCAAAATCAAAAGCTCAAACACATCTAACGAATGGAAAACAACTGTCATATTCCTGACTTGAAACAGGCATTTAAAAATATCAAATTTACTTGTACGAGCTTTATCAACAGAGAGGAATGCGATTATCGTATAAAACATGACAAGAAGACGCGGTATGGGTTCCAATGGGGCAACTCTTTATCCATACGTACATCGTGCTATCTTCAAACCTGTTAATTTGTATATCAAAGAGGTGGATTGCAGGATAAAATCTGCTACATACACGTGCGTTGAATTTGAATAGGCCTCTTAGTGTCTGTTTCCATAGTCATCGGTATAACAGTTACAGAACACAAGTTCCCTAGTTTGGATCTCCCTTATAGAAACATACTGAGTGGTTCAACGATAAAATGGTTATACATGAATATAAGTGAATATTATCTCTTGAAGAATATTACATTGCATTCGCAATATTGTGCAATATAAAAATGTACTGGGTACAATATTCACTAATATTCATGCAATAATAACCCTATATATGTAACTACATAATTTTCATTTTTCGACAGTTTGCTCCATTTCGTATTCTTGTTTATCTTTTATATTCAAGTCTATTGTTTCTTTATCAATTTCGTAAATTGAGTTAATCATTTACCAGATTTTCGAAAGGATTAATAAATTTGTTTCATACTTGTGGTGGAATAATTTACCACTCATTTTATCCTTTCTATATATTCGATTTTATACGTATCCTGAAGAATTAGTGTTTTGAAAATGATTTGAATGCATTACTGATTGTATTTGATGTCTTGTCTATATTTTCCATCTGGTTGCGGGAGTGTATGTATATAGACTTCGAATGCTATCTATTATACATGTAATACTATTTAATACCCATAGAACATTATTTTCAATGAATAATTGAAACAATAATTATGATTATTGTGCCACGAGATAAGTATATATGAATACATGTTCATTAATGAAGAAAAAATAAATTAAAAAAAATAAACGCTTTCTTACCTGTTTATAACTATTTGTTTTTTCGTACACAATTTTCTGTCCTTTTTATTAAATTTCTGTTCGTCAAACTCTCATGTTTCATACGGAGTATATGTTATGCCGAATGTTGTCAATGGTCCGATATTTTGACTATGGCCAGGACCTGGTTTATTTGTTAATCCCTATGATTACGCAACATTACGATCTCAAACAAATCCGGCTATAATTAATTTCTACAGTTTGACTCAGACATTGTCTTTTTAACAAAAGGTAACAATTGAATCGTTTACGCCATTTTTATGTAATTATACCCTTTAATTGAAAGTCTTTTGTAGTTGACACAAAAGATCGTCGTGGTATATATTTTTATAAAAGATCAATCAAAGGTAAACGGACAAACATAAGAGATTTGGGCATTTAATCATGTATAAAACATATTCATAAATGTATAATAAGTGAAACATATCCCTAAGTGACAAAAGTAGCAGTTTAACAACGTTTGGTGTGACCTTAGAGGGATAACTGTCACTATACAATAGCTCTAATTGGCTGAAAGCATGTACAAGAGGTTGCTAAACATAACAGTGGCACAATTTGTAGAAAGAGATTTAAAAAGAAGGAACCTATTTGCACTTGATTTTTTTCTAGCTTTTATGTATACAGAAAATTATTGGCAGCTTGTGTGTCAACAGATTAAGTATTGTAAGCAATGGTTGCTTCATACAAATGTTTCATTCATTTAAATTTCAAAAGAATTAAATTCTATTTTCGAATCAGATATTAATAGAAATAAAATAACTATCAACTTTAAATGGAACCAATTTAAAACAGAGACAAATATTTGAAATATTTCTCAAGATTATCCGAGCCTTAACAAATTCCAATTGTTGTTAATCAAATTCCCTTTAATTAATTTAATATTATATCTTATATTTTCAAATAATTCATGAATATCTAATGGTAACAACGATTATATATGTTTTCAACCAATGTCAACATTTGCAAAATGTATATTCCATCTTTGCGAACGAATACATTACAATCATGAAGTTGTTATATAGGTGTTGCTCTTACAATTAACACTTACCATATACAGTTAGTATTTATAACCATCAAACAAATACTAATACCAAATTAGAAAACAACTTACGAAAAGAACACTGAATACATGTACTTTTAAAATTTGTTGTATTGAATATGAAATAACTGAATAAATACAGAAAAAAACAACAACAACAAAATTGAAAAAAAAAGACACAAACCATCAGAAATTAGAATTAAAGGAAGGTAAGTCGATAATAACAATATGAAGAACAATCTAAATGGTAGTGAGTCGATCTCGTTGTAGATAATAACAAAATAAAGTACAATCTAAATGGTAGGTAAGTCGATCTCGTTGTAGATGTTGGTTGGAGTGTCGGGTCTCAGGTGCTCCGGAAGTGTAAACAGATCCTGCTCCACACGCGACACCGTATAGATACATCGCATACACCCCAGTATATCTGAATATCTGATATACGTTTATGTAAGCTTTTGATTCGTATCTTCTTAATTCTGCAATGTATAACGGGATCAGGTACTCCTAAGCATAGATTTGCCCAAGTTATAATTTACAAGTATAAAGATATGCAAACATGCGTAACAATTAATAAACTGAGACAATGTTCAATGGTTGGAAAAGGAAGATAGTGTACACGATCTCCCAAAGCAACCACAACATTCTGGTAATGAGTTAAATGAGTTTCCAAATAGAACAAGACGCATCACTTATTTCAAAAAGATAAGTTATGTTTTGTGCATATTGAATTGAGCAGGTGTTCAAGGTATAAGTGTATAATATATCTTCGGTCGAACTGCCAAATAGAAAGGTGTTCAAGGTATAAGTGTAATATATCTTCAGTCGAACTGCATGCCAAATAGAAAGGTGTTCAAGGTATAAGTGTAATATATCTTCAGTCGAACTGCCAAATAGAAAGGTTTTCAAGGTATAAGTGTAATATATCTTCAGTCGAACTACCAAATAGAAAACCTTGATGATTTATTATGGTGCATGAATCTAAACTGGTGGTATAAAATGAAGGTCGAAATCTTGTCAATGACTTCAATGCTCCAACTTAACAGAATTTAGTTACTTTTGATTCCTAGGATTTCTTTCGTAAATCTTTATATTTTTATATATTTGGACCAAAACATTTCTGAATGATAGACAAATAGACAGGAAATACCCCAAAATATTGAAAAAAAAACAATGATTAATTTTTTTTTGAATCCTAACCGAGTCCCAATGGTTGATGTAAGGTTACCTATAATTGCTTATATCCATTTCATTTGAACTTGGGTGTATAGTTGCCTGAGATTGGCAATCATACCACGTCTCCTTATCTTTATATACCTCGAATGTTTGTATTAGGAAAATATGCATTTCTTGTACGATTTTGATAAACAGAGTGGTAATAATTGACTGTAAAAATTTATAAACTACTGTTATATAAACTACTGTTATATAAACTACTGTTATATAAACTGTAAAACACTGTATGTGTAATATCGTACGACAAAGAGCATGACACATTGCATAAGTGAAACAATTATCTGTATAGCGACACAATATACAAAATTAATCCTTGGTGAAAATTGGGAATAATATACTATGTCCCAGGTGAAAATAAGTTAAAACACTTACATAATATTTACACCAAAAAAATTTAAAAAGAAAGAAATATTTAAAAAAAAAAGGCGGGTCCATTCACCGCCGGTGTATGCACCATGTCTAGATATATTAAATCACATACTCCTCTCATGCAGCAGTTCGTAATCTCGAATACTGTATGGAAGGAGCTGCGCGGATTATTGGTCACAATCGTACCGGTACGTGAATATTTTAACATGCGTTAAGTTACTTCCGGGTACTTCAACAAAGCAAGCAAGCAGTAATATGCAGAATTGGATTTATGGTATTAAAACGAAAAACAGAAAAGTCATACCCAAATAGCACACCATTTCTTTTATCTATTTTGTCCTAAATTCTAGGTTCAAGAGAGTTAAATGAAAAACGTTCAGTAAAAAGCTCCATAAATTCAGAATCAAAATAATTTAAATATGATGATATGATCATATGTGCATTTCGCCATTGTCGGACAGGTTGGGGAAGATCTTCATAAATGGATACTATCCGCTTTTGGGACCGAGGCTCTTATGGTCCATGGAATATTTTTTTGTATTTGCCATGTAAGCAGACCAAAATATCAATGTTTAACTAGTATGAGGCATATGTTACCTTATATTTTCATAACTAGCAGACATTACAATATCATTTTATTTTCACAATTCCCCTCAGTCAAAGCTAACTCACATTTGTCTTTAGTCCCACAACTTCAGACATCACTGTCAGTTATTTTTTTCTTCCAACAGTCATGTGACAGTATAAATTAAAAGGAGTGACAAAGTTTATTTAAAAAAATAAAAAACCCACCATAACAGGGCAATACATGAAATTGCAATTTTATATCATTACTAAAGTTAAATGATGTATGGTACATAAGACATTTGAGTTGGTCACAGTATAATTTGGGTAGAGGAAATCAAGACTCTTAGGCTTGTTCTAAAATTGGCAACTGGCATTTTTTCTGGCTCCAATTTTTTGAAGCCAGAGCTGCCCCTAGCCTGGACTCTCTGTGACATCATAGTATTTTCAATATATATAGAAGTAGAATTTTTACTTTCGTTGTTCTTAATTCTTTATTTTTAAATATTACCTAAAACATTATAGAAATGAGAAGGAATATCAGTACATGGAAAATTAGTTTGGAGAGCCATATGATATATCAATGAATTATATGGCCAACAAATAGAGTTGTCAATCTCCTGTATTATACGTTTCTGATATGACAGGAAAATTATAAAGCTTAGGCCAAAATAAATTTTGTGTTTCCGTTTCTGTCCCTACCTCTGTTTCTGACGCTGACCCTCATCATTTTATTGACGATTATAAAAAAGATTTAAAAAATCCTGATTTTTTAGTCTTTCAGGATTCGATTATCCGTTTAGAATACTATTGATCTACAAAGTGTTTGATAGTTGCGACTAATAGGCATCAGTAAAGCGCATCAAGAAACAAGATTTTAAATGAACAAGCATGGCTTGTAGCTGTGGAACCGTAGCTCATAGGTCCTTATGATATTTTTTGACAGTTTGCGAAGCATCCACACCAATCGGAAAACATGATACAGACCATTAGAGTAACGGGTTCACAGCTAGGCTTGTCAAATACCGTGCTGGGTATTAGCTGTCAAATATGGGATATGTGATCACATGGACGCCAAAAAAAGAAGCTGACATATTTTGCTCAACTTCTTTGGACCAAAAGTCAGAATCGTCCCAGGTTGGACAGACCACATCTGTTGGCGAATTGACAAACAGTTATAGGGTGTAATGTGTTCAATTTACTTCTAAAATCAATCCAGCTATTGTTGTAAAAAAGCTCTCGCGAATTGTGCTCAGGACACAACATAAACGGCTGTCAATACCTTTGAGCAGTTGAGTTAATGATGGCAGGAGACAGACAATGTGTAACAAGAAAGAGAAAAAAGAAGCTTTCCCTAGTAGGCAGACATGGTGTATGATTCATGTTTATTTATAAATGAATTTGCACAGGCACCATGTCAACTTTTATTCTTTTTATATTTTTCTCTGGCTGGTCCCATAACAATGTATACAAGAAAAGGGGAAAAAATTCCAGTCATATTTAATTTATTTCTGCAATTTATTTGACCAGTATATTAAGGCAAAGATTTCACATTCTCACTTCTCAAAACCTTGAATTTTAATATTGTCAGAACCACCCACTCTTCAAGATTACATTCTGTTTAACATCAAAATACATCTTTAGATATTAAATAAAGAGGGTGCAAGGGCAGAGTATAACCCCTCGAAACATCATAATCAACCACTGCTGAACATCAGTTCACAATGTTTTCAAGAGGTAATAATCTGCTCCAACACGTACCCAGTGTGTCATTGGCACATCAACAATATTCGATTTGGAACCTTTTTTTTCTGCTGTCAACAATAGAAAAAATATAAAATGTTTTACCTACCTACCCTACCTAATTTGGAGGTGAAATAGGAAACACATAATTTATTTATTTTTGCCTTAGCATTTATTTATTTTTAACATGTTGAATGATCTAAAAAGCCTGACAAGCTGTGGTAAATGAGACATTCTTGTATCTGTTGTAGGTCCTACAGACTCCTACTGCCAATAGGAAAGCTGTAGGTCCTACTGCCAATAGAAGTATCTTATAAGGGTTAAACAAATTGTGGTGGAATTTTAAGAGATTTCCTAATTTATTGCACCAGTTTCAAATCAATGTTTTCTAAAGGTTTAGAGGATACCATTGGTAAATTACACTGTATTACACAATACACTAGGAGAAGCAATTGATATCATGATACCAATATACAATAGGTAAATTACACAGTAATACACAATACACTATGAGAAGCAATTGATATCATGATACCAATATACAATAGGTAAATTACACTGTATTACACAATACACTAGGAGACGCAATTGATATCATGATACCAATATACAATAGGTAAATTACACAGTATTACACAATACACTAGGAGAAGCAATTGATATCATGATACCAATATACACTGGGTAAATTACACAGTATTACACAATACACTAGAAGCAATTGATATCACGATCCAAATATACAATGTTTTCAACCTTCACCAAAATATCCCAAACATTTATTATAGATGATCAATTTGGAACAGACTGAGAAATTAATATTCATTGACAGTGAATCTGTTATCTTTTTAAACTTAACCAAATCCTCATTCAAAAATAACCAATAATGTGTAAAAGTTTTCCAGGACAGTGTTCCAGCTTGATCGTTTTCACAGGGCTGTCCGCCCGCCCTTCCCAGACTGCTGCCCTGTGCCCTTTTTATGATTCCATGTGCACTTTTTAAGACGCCCTGCCTTTTTCATGTTTTTTCGCAAGTCCATGCCTTTATTGTCACATTATTTCAACTTCAGCCTCCATTTTAAAACTTCCTTGTAAACATTGCTCACGCATTGTAATCAATATTTACCTCACTGAAATCAAATATTTATATTCTAATTGAATGTTATAAAGCTGTTTGTTTATATTACAGATCTTGAAGTGATGAAGATGTTTCAGTTATCTGACTAAAGAACTGATTTACACACTATACAATGGAAGCACTACTGAAAAAGAGAAGCTTTCATGGTAGGACCAAAAATATCAGCAATAGAATTAGAATCAATAGAAAATCTTGATATGAAATCTGACATGCATGTAGCTGCAACTGGAAAAATTTCAAAACATTCTCAGCAAATTAGAACACTAGAAAACACATTGGATTCTGAACCTTCCAGGCAAACCGATACACAGACAGATAGTTAGATACTATACCTTCTTAGAAAACAAGTTCAATCCTGAACATTCTCATCAGTTAAGTACACTTGAAAATTAGTTAAATCCTGATTATTCTCATGATTCACAAATATCAACAGAATTGTAAACAGATTCTGAAAGTAAATTATCTTATAGTAAATTAGACTAAGATTCATAAACAGTCATGGATTGCAACAGTGAAATAAATGACATAGCTGAAAATTCAGCAAAGGAAATGGCATACCATGAAATATCTAAAAGTAATGAAGAAAGGAATGATGAAACTCCTGTATCAAATGAAATGGTAGAACAACATTTGAATGAAATGATGAAAAAATCACAAGAAATTTACACAGGTGAAGGTCAATTTACAAGTATAAATAGAACAAAATTCCCCTTGGAGAAAGACCAATCCAGTATAGACATAACAGATGATAGTGCAATTAATGCAACAGTGTTACCATGCCAACAGAATGTAATCCTTGTTAAGATACCAAATCAATATTTAGACTATATTTGTCAGTTCTGTAGTAAAGATTTCTCAAGTAAGAGCAGTCTGAAAGAACATTTGATAATACATAGTGGAGAACAGCCATACTCGTGTGATATTTGTGGAAAAAAGTTTAACAAGAAGGGGAATCTTATGAGACATCATAATACACATGGCGGTGAGAAGAAACACACATGTGGTATATGTGGGAAAAGTTTTAATCATGCTTGTACATTAAAAGATCACATGAAACGCCATACTGGGGAAAAACCGTATGAATGTGAAATTTGTAAACGACAGTTTTCAGAGAAATGTAATCTGAAAAAACACATGATACTACATTCTGGTATAAAACCCTACTCTTGTGATTATTGTGATAAACCATTTTTTGATGCAGGAAATCTTGCCAAACATGTACTGATACACACCGGTCAGCGACCCTATCAGTGTGATCTCTGTGGTAAGAAGTTTAGGTACGGAAACACATTAAAGCGACATCAGAGAATCCACACAGGAGAGGCACCATTTCCCTGTCCAGTGTGTAATAAAGCTTTTTTTTCTAACGGAGAACTACACAACCATTCAGTTATACATACAGGTGTCAAACGTTTTAAATGTGAGGTATGTGGTAAATGTTTTAGTCGTAATCATCACTTACACCAACACATGAAAAAACACACTGGTGAAAAACCATATGGATGTGACGTGTGTGGTAGTAGATTCGTTCAGACTTCAGGTTTTCGGAAGCACATGCGGACATTTCATCCATCAGTACCAACTGAATGGCAACACCTGCCAGACTCAAATCGTTCATCAGAAGATCTTGTTCCACCCACTTCTAATATGCCTAAGAAAGAAACTAAATTTACTTGTGAAATTTGTGGTGTTAAATTTGTGCATGGTGCAACATACCGTAAACATTCCCTTATCTATCATGAGAAATCTATACCCCAAACATGGACAGGCTTACCAAGATCAAAAAGGGTTAAAAGCAAAGTTAAAACTACAGAAGATGATAAACTAACAGAAAGTATTAAGGAATTGATTAAAAAGAATGAACAATTTCTGATAAAAACTGAACCCCAGTAAATGTACATTATAGACATGTTAGAGAATACCTTAAAGCTTTAATTAACAAGCAATTCAACTTTTCAAATACAGGAAACAAGAATATCATAAAAAAAATGTACAAGATTTAAGTTGTTTTTACTATCAAGAATTTACAACACAAAAAATGAAGGTGCCTATCAATCCTTGCAGATAAGTACCGGTATATATATTTGTTACAGAAACAAGGGTTAACTGAAAAGATGGTATCTAGAGACAACAATTATGCATGATAAGCTACAAATGTATCATAATTTTACAACTGTTTCAACTTTCATGGTAGAAAAAATAAGATATTACTGAATAGGTTACATACAATGTAATTGTATGAATTTTTCAGATGAAATATAATCATGATAATAGGGAAATGCAATAAAATACAAAATGCACGTGTAATTTAGAAATTATTTAGTTTCAGATTAATGTTTCTATGTATGTTTACTACTCAGATGTAATTTAAAGTGAAAAAGTCAATTCAAAGTTATTTAGACATATGTACATGTACATATTATATACATAGTGTTGCCAATGGTAATAAGAGTTAAGACTGTTGAGCCAGATAACTAATGAAATGAAATTCTTTGATAGCTTAGTTCACAGGCATTGATTGTGGAAATAAAAATGATCATGATTTTAATAATAAATTGTCAGTGTAATGTGTAATTATCAATTAAATTATTGTGATTTTCTTTATTATTTAAATCCTAATGTCCATGTTCATGTGTGATTAGTGGTTCAGTTTATTTGTAAGTGTTTGCAGTGGCATAGCTAGGCCATTTTTATGTGTACGCCCGAACCTCGGCGAGGGATCTGATGAGTTTGAATATCCCTTTGGAATCTTTCGCCTCTCTTTTTATCTGAATTTATTCTTTCATATTAAATTTATTCATTGTGTTGATTTGGAATCTAATTGTCATTTGTTTTAGATGAAAATGAAAGAAAAAATTCAACAAATAAAAAAGAGAGGTGGAAGATTCCAAAGGGATATTCAAACTCATCAGTTGAAATTTAACCGACAATTCCATTTCAAAAAACGAAAAACGACAAACAACAGTACATAAAACACAACATAGAAATCTTCAGACTGAGCAACACGAACCCGACAAAAACCAAGGGGATCTCAGGTGATACGGAAGGATAAGCAGTTCCTGCTCCACATGTGGCACTCATCGTTAATGGACACATGAAATGATTAATTTTCAGGTGTAACATAAAAATGCAAGCCAGACATATCGTATCTCAGCAATGAATGGCTTTAAAAAATAGTTAACTGAATAGAATTCACAGTAGATTCAAACTCTGGCTGAAAATGAACAAATTTATGATATGTAGCTACACGCCTGGTTTGTATAGGCAGTGTACATCTAAGAATAAGAAGATGTGGTATGATTGCCAATGAGACAACTCTCCACCAGAGACCAAATGATGTAGAAGGTTAGCAACAACATAAAAGTCTCCATACTGCTTTCAACAATGAGCAAAACCCATACCCCATAGCAAGCTATAAAAGGCCCATAATTGACAAATGTAAAACATTCAGACAAGAAAACTATCAGCCTGTACAAAACAATAAACGAAAAACAAATATGATATATATACAACAACTAGCGACAACCATTGAATATTAGGCTCCTGATTTGGACAGGCATAAATACAGGATGTGGCAGGGTTAAACATGTTTGCGGGCACACTAACTTTCTCCTAACCTGGGATAGTGAAACAAAAACAATAGAGACAAAGCACCAATATAAGAATACTAAAAGTTACTGAAAGCTAGTTCAAAGCCAATTACAAATAACAAATAAATCATGTTCTCCCAGACGTTATGTCAGTGCATATATTAATGGTTGGATATGCAATGATCATGTCTTTAAGCATGTTGATTATAAGTATATTTACAGTGTATAGGTTTGATATCATTGATTGATTGTTGGAAACGCACTGTACATGTCTTGATTGAATGCACAATTTGAATGTCATTGATTGGGTATGGAGTTTTTGTGTCTTGATTGAAAGTACAGTGAGTACGCTCATGTCTTGATTGAAAGTGCAAGGAGTATGTCATTGGTTGGATATGCAGTGTACATTTCTTGATTGGAAGTACAGTGAGTATGTCATTGGTTGGATATGCAGTGTTTCTGTCTTGATTGGAAGTACAGTGAGTATGTCATTGGTTGGATATGCAGTGTTTCTGTCTTGATTGGAAGTACAGTGAGTATGTCATTGGTTGGATATGCAGCGTTTCTGTCTTGATTGAAAGTAAAGTGTATGTCATTGATTGGATATGTAGTGTTTCTGTTTTGATTGGAAGTACAGTGAGTATGTCATTGGTTGGATATGCAGTGTTTCTGTCTTGATTGGAAGTACAGTGAGTATGTCATTGGTTGAATATGCAGTGTCTGTTTTGATTGGAAGAACAGTAAGTATGTCATTGGTTGCATATGCAGTGTTTCTGTCTTGATTGGAAGTACAGTGAGTATGTCATTGGTTGGATATGCCGTGTTCGTGTCTTGATTGGAAGTACAGTGAGTATGTCATTGGTTGGATATTCAGTGTTTCTGTCTTGATTAGAAGTACAGTGAGTATGTCATTGGTTGGATATGCAGTTTTTCTGTCTTGATTGGAAGTACAGTGAGTATGTCATTGGTTGGATATGCAGTGTTTCTGTTTTGATTGGAAGAACAGTAAGTATGTCATTGGTTGCAAATGCAGTGTTTCTGTTTTGATTGGAAATACAGTGAGTATATCATTGGTTGGATATGCAGTGTTTCTGTCTTGATTGGAAGTACAGTGAGTATGTCATTGGTTGGATATGCAGTGTTTCTGTCTTGATTGGAAGTACAGTGAGTATGTCATTGGTTGAATATGCAGTGATCATGTCTTTGAGCATGTTGCTTACAAGTACATTTACAGTGTATAGGTTTGATATCATTGATTGATTGTTGGATACGTACTGTATATGTCTTGATAGTGCACAGTATGACTGTCATTGATTGGATATGGTAGTTTTCGTGTTTTGATTGGAAGTACAGTGAGTATGTCACTGATTGGATATGTAGTGTTTCTGTCTTGATTTGAAGAACAATGAGTATGTCATTGGTTTGATATGCAGTGTTTCTGTCTTGATTGGAAGTACAGTGAGTATGTCATTGGTTGGATTTGCAGCGTTTTTGTCTTGATTGAAAGTGCAGTGAGTTTGTCATTGGTTGGATATGCAGCGTTTCTGTCTTGATTGACAGTACAGCGAGTATGTCATTGGTTTGATACGCAGCGTTTCTGTCTTGATTGGATGTAGAGTGAGTATGTCATTGGTTGGATATGCAGTGTTTCTGTCTTGATTGGAAGTACAGTGAGTATGTCATTGATTGGATATGCAGTGATCATGTTTTTGAGCATGTTGATAATAAGTACATTTACAGTGTATAGGTTTGATATCATTGATTGATTGTTGGATATGCATTGTACATGTCTTGATAGAATGCACAGTATGAATGTCATTGGTTGGATATACAGTGTTCGTGTCTTGATTGAAAGAACAATGAGTATGTCATTGGTTGCATATGCAGCGTTTCTGTCTTGATTGGAAGTACAGTGAGTATGTCATTGGTTGGATACGCAGCGTTATTGTCTTGATTGGAAGTAGAGTGAGTATGTCATTGGTTCGATATGCAGTGTTCGTGTCTTGATTGAAAGAACAGTGATTATGTCATTGGTTGGGAATGCAATGTTAATGTCTTGATTGAAAGTACAGTGAGTATGTCATTGGTTGTATATGCAATGTTCATCTCTTGATTGAAAGTACAGTGAATATGTCATTGGTTGGATATGAAGTGTTCCTGTTTTGATTGGAAGTACAGTGAGTATTTTATTGGCTGAATATGCAGTGTACATGTCCTAATTGAAAGTACAGTGAGTATGTCATTGGTTGGATATGCAGTGTTCATGTCTTGATTGAAAGTACAATGAGTATGTCATTGGTTGGATATGCAGTGTTCGTGTCTTGCTTGAAAGTGCAGTGTGTTTCTCATTGGTTTAAGATATGTCATGTGCATGTCTTGATTGTAAGAGCAGGGAGTGTGCCATTGGTTGAATGTGCAGTGTACATTTCCTGATTGAAAATACAGTGAATATGTCATTGGTTGGATATGTCATGTTCATGTCTTGATTGAAAGTGCAATTTGTTGGTAATTAATTTGAAATGTCATGTTCATCTCTTGTTTGGAAGTTCAATGCTAATGTCACTGGTTGGATATGCAGTGTACATATCTTAATTGGAAGTGAAGTGTGTATGTCTTTAGTTGGATATGTAATGTTCGTGTCTTGATTGATGTTACAATGTTAATGTCAATTGTTTAAAATGCGGTCTGCATGTCTTGATTTTAAGTGCCGTGAATATGTCATTGGTTGGAGATGCACCGACATTTCTTGATTGAAAGTATAGTGAGTATGTCATTGATTTGATATGCCATATTCATGTCTCGATTGGAAGTTAGTATGTTATTGGTTGGATATGCACCGACATATATTGATTGAAAGTACAGTGAGTATGCCATTGGCTGGATATGCACCGACATATCTTGATTGAAAGTACAAAGAGTTTGTCATTGGTTTGAAATGCCATGTTCATGTCTTGATTGAAAGTACAGTGAGTATGTCATTGGTTGGATATGAAGTGTTCATTTCTTGATTGGAAGTTCAGTGAGTATGCCATTAGTTGGATATGCAGTATCCTGTCTTGATTGGAAGTACAGTGAGTATGTCATTGGTTGGATATTCAGTGTTTATGTCTTGACTGAAAGTACAGTGAGTATTAATAGGTTGGTTATTCAGTGTTCATGTCTTGATTGATATTGCAGTCTGTCTGTCATTGGTTTGATATGCCATGTTCACGCCTTGATTGGAAGTTCATCAAGTATGCCACTCTTTGGATATGCATTGTACATGTCTTTATTGGAAGTGCAGTGTGTATGTCTTTAGATGGTTATGTAGTGTTCGTGTCTTGATTGAGGTTACAGTGTTCATGTCAATTGTTTAAAATGCGGTGTGCATGTCTTGATTTATAGTACAGTGAATATGTCATTGGTTGGATATGAACCAACATTTCTTGATTGAAAGTACAGTGAGTATATGTCATTGGATTGATATGCCATGTTCATGACTTGATTGGAAATACAGTGTGCATGTCATTGGTTGGATATGTAGTGTATATGTCTTGATTGAAAGTACAGTGAGTATGTCAATGGTTGGATATGCAGTGTACATTTCTTGATTGAAAGTACAGTGAGTATGTCATTGGTTGGATATGTAGTGTCTATGTCTTGATTGAAAGTACAGTGCGTATGTCATTTGTCTGAAATGCGGTGTGCATGCCTTGATTGAAGTTACAGTTTTCATGCCATTTGTTTGGTGTTCGATGTGCTTGTCTTGATTGAAGTAACAGTTTTCATGACATTTGTTTGATATGCGATCTGCTTGTCTTTTCTTGAAGTTACAGTGTTCATGTCATTGATAAGGTATGAAGTGTACATGTCTTCGATTGCAGACACAGTTATCATGACTTTGATTGAATATGCATTGACATGTGCTCGATTGGAAGTATTGTTTATATGCCATTGATTGAATATGCATTGACATGTGCTCGATTGAAAGTACTGTTTATATGCCATTGATTGAATATACATTGACATGT